AAAAAAAAAAAAAAAGAATGTTAAATAAAATAATTATTTTTTAAAAAGGAAAAAAAGGAAATAAACAACTATTTTAAAAAAGAAATGATACATTCCCAAATCATACAGTCAACTGATCTTTGATGAAAGGGTATAAAATAATGCAGTGGAGAACACCTTTTTAGCAAATGGTGCTGGAAGAACTGGATATTCACCTGTAAAAGAATGAAACTAGACCCCTATCTCTCACCATTAACTAGAATTAATTCAAAATGGGTCAAAGATTTAAGTATTAAAGCTTCATAATAAAAAAGTACTTGGGGCTGGCAGATGGCATGGTGGTGAAGGTGCAGTACTCTCACATGGCCAGCCATGTTTCAAGTCCTGGATCTAGTGGCTTGCTTTCCCACTTTTTCTCTCTTTCTCTCCCTCTGTCTCTCTCTGGTCAAATTTATAATAATAAAATAAAAACTAGTAGAAAACAGAAGAAATTTTTGAAGACATTGGAATAGGCAAAGACTTCTTAAATAAGATCCTGAAAGCACAAGCAATGGTCCCTAAAACAGATTTGAGGGACTACAACAAGCTAAAAAGCTTCCGCATAGCAAAGGAAACTATAACTAGAGTGAGAGGACAATCCTTGGAATGGGAGAAAATATTTCCAAATTATTCTTCAGACAAGGGATTGATAGCTAGAATATACAGGGAATTCAAGCAGCTCACTCACAAAAAAATGAATAATCCAATTTAAAAATGGGCAAATGAATTGAATAGACAACTCTCCAAGGAAGACTTACGAATGGCCAAGAGGTATATTAAAAAATGCATAAAGTCTCTTGTCATGAGGGAAATGCAAATTAAAACAATGAGATACCATTTAACCCCAGTTGGAATGGCTAGGATTAAAAAAAAAAAAAAAAAAAAATAAGTGCTGGCATTGCTATGGTGAAAAGGGAACTCTCCTACATTGCTGGTGGAAATGTAAATTAGTCCAGCCACTAAGGAGAACAATATGGCGGGTTCTCCC